TATTAAGGCAGTGGATACAATAGCACGTTGTCGATACATTGTTCAACGTATGATTGATCAGTGGAATGAGCAGTCGCTCAAATTATCACAGACCATTCGCTCAGCCAAAAAGACCGCATCTAGTTCAGTTCTGAACTCAAGCATTCATCAGTCATCGAATCTGAATACAGCTAACGACAATAATGATGCAGTCAAGAATAGTGTTTGTGATTTTTTGATTTCATCGTTTGTTCGTTACAAGGAATTGACAAATTAGTAAATTGACATGATAGTATTGCTTGTTCGTTTAATAATAAATATGAATTCATTCACTTTATCTGAAAATATGAAATAAAAGCATGTTATTTTCGGTACTGTTTTGGAGCGATTTAAATTTAATTATTGATAATCAAACGTAAAAACAAAGTTCTCCTATTTGAAGGAGTCAACTAAGCAGTCATTGAATGAGGAGTCTGCGTCTGCAGCCATCGCACTGACTCCTTCATCTCCATTCAACATCGAAGTGGAACTAACTCAAGTCGAAAGTCCATTTCTACCACAACTTCATTTATCACTCCCAATTTCGATGAGTGAGTTTATTTATGCTTTGTTTAGCAAAATATTACACTCTCTATATTGATCAGTCATAAATGAGCGTTTTAAATCTGATTATAGAAGCGTACACGAGAGAATCTCTGTTCTGAATACACGAATGACTTTTGTTTAAAATTCATAGAAATTCCATTGATAGATGACTTACAATTTTTGGTGTCGTATCATTTATGCTTAACTTTCCGTGGAAACATTGTGAATTTTATTGCACTGCATGTGCATATGGTTCGCATTTATTGTTGATCGTTGTAAGAATGTGTTGACGAGTGAAGACCCAATAAATAAATTCAGATGGTGCAGCAATAGTGATTCGTGATTTAATCGATAGTAAGGGAATGGTGCATCCAGATATTGGCTCTATTATCGCGTATGCATTATCCTCAAATGAATACGGAAGCAAACGTAAGAAGATGCGTGATATGCGATCTTTTGATGGGGTTGCAGTGAATCTCAAGTGATTGCTCATTATTGATACTCCTTTTTCTCATTCAGTTATTCTTACTTCTTTCGCAAACAGTGTATAAGTTGATGTGGCAGTTTAACGAGATTGAGTGGGGCAATCAATTTAACTCACGCAGTCATTATTCCAGTCACTCATTGGTTAATGCTTCTTGAAGTAATCTACGATTTCGATGATAATCAATTGCAGGACCAATCCAACCGAGAGTGATATTGTTGGCAATTACGAGCACATTGAGGTGGATTT